ATGAAGCCGGAAGACTGTCTCGGGGCTGTCCTTGATGCGGATTTAAAACGTGGTGGTCCTGGGATTATCATCCAGCTTCGGCTCCCCTCGTCTCCCCTGCACTCTGATGCAGGGCAGAGCAAAGAACCGCTCTGAGCGAGCCCTTGTCCCAGCCGGGGAGGGCCCCCCGCCCCTGCTGCCTTCAGCCCTCCCTCCAAGACGGAGGAAGGAAAGGCAAAGGTGGGGCTTCCCGTCTCCAACACCCTGGAACAACGGCTCGGCTCGGCGCGTTGGGCGGCCGCCGTGCCAAGGCTGGGGGCTGGGGGGGCTCCCAAGGGCAGGCCCTCCCCAGCACTGAGGCCTCCCTCTCTCACGGGGGAGGGGACGCCACCCGTCAGATTCCCCCAAGCCTGGGGGGAGAGCACCCTGCCTTTCCTTGCCCAGCCAGGGAGCCGTTCGTTTTCCTTTCGCACGCAGCTCAAACCCCATCCAGACAGCCAGCGCCAAGCAGTTAACCAAACACCCAATGGAGCACAACGGAGCTAACACCTTGTTGGAGACGTCCACAGCCTCTTCCGCATTTCATATCACGCCTCTGACAGGAAGAGCTCCCATGAAGTCAGATTTTACCTGAACGACCATCTTTTCAGAAGGTATCTAAGAGCAGCTATTCTTACGCCGCTCGATCGTTTCAGGTTTTGTTGCCTCTTGCAACGTGTCGCTTGTCTTTATCCCAGGTTTTAAAAGCGGTTCTGTGAGATACGGTGATTCCCAACAGCGTCGTGTCTTGATGACCAGAGAATGCCACTCCGGGGCCCCTTTGGCAGGCTGGCAGTGCCCATTTCCAGGGCCCAGCCCCATGGACTCAGCTCATGGACATTTCTGCCAATCAATGTGGGCTCTCACGAAGATGTGGGGGTGAACACAGGCCCCCCAAAACAAGCCACACTCCACCCCCTCAGCGGAAGCCCCCACTTTGTGCATGGCCCACGTGGGGGGAGTGAAGGCAGGCCAAAGGCCCCCACTTCACGGCACTGAGACCAGTTGCAGGCCCCTCTCTGGAAAGGCTGGAGGGATGCTGCCTCCACCGGCTGGCTCTTGGGGGAATGGAACAGTGGGAGACCCCCGTGGCCCGTGGAGACGCCAGCCCTGCTGGTCCTGGCCAAGCACGCAGGGAGCTCTTCCCGCCCCCTCCCTGCCACGGAGAGCGGGCAGAGGGCGAGGCTGTGCCACAGCTGGGGCAGGCTGGGCCGGGAAGAGGCAGGGACCTCTCTGGAGGGCCGGAGGGTGCCCAGGCCACCACGTGGGGAGGCAGCGGCGAGCCTCAGTGTCAGCCTGCAGCCGGGCAGGATCTGATCCGCCTCTTCCCCCTGCTTGGTCTCTTGCCCCCTCCCCGCCTGCCTGTTCTTGCAGGAGGAAAAAGCAGGATTTCCTGGCATTGCTTAAGAGTCAGCTGCAGCTGGGAGTCGGAGAGCAGAGCCATGGGGAACTGGCCCGGGGGCCCTTCACAGCCCCACACCCGTGGGCGCAATCTGTGTTCCCGGCATCGGGCTTCCACCTCGGAGGAGAGCGATCCCGTCCGCAAGAGCAGGTCAGGGCGGCGAGCAGGCTGCGGGGGGGGGGGGGGG